CACTAGCACACTTGCTCACTCACTCTCTCTCAAAAATAAATAAACATTAAAAAAAGAAAAGAAAAATATTGAAATCTTGCCATTTGCAACAATGTGGACGGAACTGGAAGGTATTATGCTAAGTGAAATAAGTCAGTCAGAGAAAGACAGATACCATATGTTTTCATTCATATGTGGAGTTTGAGAAACTTAACAGAAGACCGTAGGGGAAAGGAAGGAAAAATAAGTTACAAACAGAGAGGAAAGCAAACCATAAGAGACTCTTAGATACAGAGAACAAGCTGAGGGTTGATCAGGGTTGGGGGGTGGGGGAGAAGGGAAAATGGGTGACGGGCATTGAGGAGGGCACTTGTTGGGATGAGCACTGGGTGTTGTAGGTAAGTGATGGATCACTGGAATCCACCCCTGAAGCCAAAACTACACTGTATGTTAACTAACTTGACAATAAATGATAAAAATAAATAAATAAAATGAATTTCTAAATTAAAACAAAAAGAATTTATAGGTCAGAGACAAAATTTGACCATGTTTTGTTGTGAAAGAAAATCACTCTAAAATACTAAGAATAATTAAAAGCTTTCTTTCCCAAAACAGAAATTAAAAAAAAAAAAAAAAAACAAAAAAACTTCTGGCAACTCAATTTTTTGTCCAATGCTGAATGCTAAAGAATGTCTCTAGGCAGTTGCTCTCCTTCCTTTTTGTTTCTGCAATATTTGTCCTCTTTCCTTACTTGAGCACTTCCCACACCTCACAATAAAAATGTCCAGTAAGAAACTGGCTTCTGTACCAACCTTGTCAGTGACTTGGGACAAATTATTTCACCTTTCCAAATATCAGTTTCCTTATTTGAAGAATAGAGTTAGTAGTAGCCCACACCTCATAAAGTTGTAGTGAGAATTAAATGAGATGGTGCTTATAAAACAGTTAACACAATGCTCGACAAAAGGTAGAGTCTCAATCAATGATGATTTTAAATATCATGGCAGGAAAAATTGAAGATAAAATACTGAAAGATAAGTTATTTAAATAGATACAAAATAAATAATAATTTGCACTAACTTTATTAGATTTCAGCATAGTTTTGTAACAATTTAAGAAATGACACTTAAAATTGGGGAATTTGACTTCTAGTTCTCTCTTCGTCCAGTTCTAACAAAGATGGGCAAAAGTCAGGAGATAAAAGGGTGGCAAGAGCCCAGGACAGCCCATCACAGCTATGTTTCAACTGCTTTTTATCGTAATGTTTAAAGTAATAAGCAATAGACATTTATTCTCAATATAATTGTGATACAAAATATACCCAAAGTAGGATTAAGTGAAATCAGATAAGAAAGAGTTATAAAGGAAAAGGGAAAGGCATATATTTATGCCTACTATGAATTTATATAAATCCATCAAAGGGCAGACATCATTTGTCTATTACCTGCATGATTCAAATGTATAAATATTTTAATAGCAGATTTCACCATGGTATTCAGGAAAGAACAACAAACGCCTGAGCTATCTTTCCAAAGCTACCTTTCCACTGTCCTGATAAATAAACTTTGTGTAAAGTCCAGGTAGAAAAAGGAGCAAAGGGGAGATGACAAGAAAGGTGCAGGAAAGATAGGAGTTACAGGGGACAGGGAATAGAGATTTAAAGCAGTAGGAGGAGTGACTTTTCATAATCTAGGAAATCTCATCTCCCTCTACCCACATTCACTGCATCCAGAGGAGGTGGAAGCCAGGAACAAACTGATTACTGGGAAACCCCAAGAGACTCATGCCTTTTTTCAGTGTGGGACCGTAAAACTGCAATAAGTAACTGATTGTAATCTTCGCTGATATGGTATCCTGAGGACATACAAAATGCTAAGCAAGAGGAGAGTCTCTTGGATGTAAGTAGAGATGTTTAATTGTGGTGAAACTATATGACATCATCCTTGTGTCCAAAAACAAAAACAAAAATGAAACAAACAAACAAAACATGTATTTAAGCATCGCCAGTCACATGTAACAAATGCTTCTTCACCAGGGCCACCATATTTATCACCTAAAGGTAGCAGTACTCAAAACCCTGCAATGATTGGGGTCATCAGAGATTCTAAACCCTGACTCCATATTCCCATTCCTTTGCATTCCTCTCTAGAAGTCTTCCCTGAGCTGTAAAATAATCACTCAGAAACCCGAAGCTGGTGACTCATTAATCAGGCCAGTCAGTTAATTTTGATGCCTTGGTCTTGGCATCTGCCACATAACATGCAGGTGAAACCTTCCCCCACATTCTGATGCGGTATCACTGTGAAAAAAATAAAACGAAACTCAAGGAGACCTGAAAAAGACACAAGAAGAACAAGAGTAGGAAATAAAAAAAGAAAGGAAAAAGGCATTTTAGATTATCCAATAGGTGCCAGGATTATAGTACCACTTCTTCTCAAAAAGAATAAAATAGGTATTGCAATCCATCTTTTTACCTATATAAATACAGACATTAAGGGGTTATGTGACTTGCCTACAATCACACAATTCAAATGTATTGGAACCTATAAATAAAGACTTCTCTGACTCAAAAAGCTATCCTTGTTTCACTATATTATGGCAACATGGGTGTGCGATGAAGAGGGAAAAAATGAGGGAACTAAAACATTAAATTTAAAGGTGCCCTTTACATATAAAGAAAAAAAGTTCCTTTATATTAGCAAGTATTTAATCATATGAAAGTGAAACTGAAGTCTGTCCTTGTTGAAGTATTATGTTATTCTATTCATCCTACATTACTAATATTGTTTCTTCCTATATAAATTAGAACAAGGGGCTCCTGGGTGGTTCAGTCAGTCGAGTGTCCAACTTCGGCTCAGGTCATGATCTCGCAGTCCATGAGTTAGAGCCCCTCATCGGGCTCTGTGCTGACAGCTCAGAGCCTGGAGCCTGCTTTGGATTCTGTGTCTCCCTCTGTCTCTGCCCCTCCCCCACTCACACCTTGTCTCTCTCTCTCTCTCTCTCTCTCTCTCTCTCTCTCTCTCTTTCACTTTCTCTCTCTCTCTCTCTCAAAAATAAATTTAAAAAAATTTTTTTTAATTAGAATGAGTGTGCAGCCTCATACTACACCTTTATCTTTAGTAAGTCACTTTCTTTGCCCAGTAAATCATAGGACATGATTCTTTTCCTGCCAATGGACTCTGCCTTCCTTCTCTTGCAAAAATGAATAGAAGAACAGTAGTAACAGGCACCGGCTTGGTTGGCTGGGTCAGAGCAGCAGTGCACCCTCCATCTTTAGCCTGTAAGGCACCATGGAAACCCGTCATATCAGAAAAATGAAATTTTTGAAAATATGAGAGAAGATTTTCTCCACATAGAGAGGACATCATTTGAAGAACCTACTATTCTATATTCTAAGAGTTTATTAGATTCAGTGTTGTGGCTGCAATTTCAGTGTGGTTGCAAAACTTTGTGATGATTAATATCATCTTATGATATGCCGGGAAAGTGGTGAGGCACCTTAAAGTGCTCTCATGTCATGCTTCAGTGAACAAACAAAGAGAGTCCCATCCCCCTCAAGAAAACTGTGGAATTTCCCACACTCAGCTAAACTGCTGGTCAGGGAAAATGGAGGAAATAAAACATGACTAAAAAGGAAGAAATCAGAGGAATAACAACAGGGCTGACTCTCAAGGAAATAGGAATTTCTTTTTGTTGTTGTTAATGTTTATTTATTTTGAGAGAGAGAGAGCATGTGTGCAAGTGGGGGAGACAAAGAGAGAGAAGTAGAGAGAATTCCAAGCAGGCTCCACAGGGTCAGCACAGAGCCTGAGATGCGGGACTGATCTCACGAACCCGTGAGATCCTGACCTGAGCTGAAATCAACAGCCTTATGCTTAACCGACTAAGCCACCCATGTGCCCCAGAAATATGAGTTTCTTGATGGAAAGTCTGCTTCCAGGAACTTGAGAAAAAGGTCAAGCATGAGAAACATGAGTCCACCAAGGATCAGCTTGGCTTGTTTTACTATGACTTCATCACGTCTCAGCCTCTTTCCTTCACTTTCATCCTTTCTCCCTTCTTCCCTTCTGCTTTCTCTCATTTACCCAATAACAATTCCTACATTTCCTTTTTTCCCCCTTGTTTATGCCATATTTTTCATTAAATACTGAGTAGCTTCTTCTCAGAGCTAATGAGGAACCCAAATAAATTATAGAATTATTCCTTTGTGACTATGATGTCACAACCTATATCAGAAAGACCTACTGCTAGAGCTCTGCCACTCATTTCTTTACTCGCATTCCCTTAATTCAATTTCCTACTCATCCCTCCATTTCCTCCAAACTACAGGTTAATACAAACACAATAAGAGAGTTCTAATGTCCTTGGGAATGGTTGTGTATTTCCATTTTGCAGTGATTTTATACCTATGTCTTATGTTGAAAAACTTTTAAAAGAGCTTTGTCACAGTCTCTTGTTGTTCCCCAAGTAACAGGTTTTCCTTTGCTACATTTCATGTTCAAGCCTTATATGTATCAAAAAGAGTATAAATGGTGTCTTCTAAGTACATATATGTGTGTATATAATTGGATGGATGGATGGATGGATGGATGGATGGATGGATAGATAGGTAATTTATATAGATAGGCAGACAATCATTGCAACTGGGATTAATTGAATAATCTTTTTTCCTCCAAAGGAACTGAAGAAGAAGATGAAGGGGATGACCATCTTCTGGGGTCTGTGGATGAGTTTTGGTGGTTTCCTCATATGTGGAGCCATATGCAACCCCACCTCTTCCATAATGAGTCATCTTTGGTGGAGCAAATGATTCTCAACAAAAAATTTGCCTTAGTAAGTAACTCTCAATCAAAAAATTTGCCTTAGTAACTCTTTTGAATATTACATTGAGCTAGTATACACTGACATTAGAACAAGTTGGTATTTTAGCCTTTCAGTATGTGACTTTTGAATTTATAGGGGACGCTCAGTACTACGCCTATTACTTTGAGGGTTCTAATTTAGGAAAAACTTCACAAGACACTCTAAGACTTACCTACTAGACAGTTTAGTCAGAGCTCATAAGACATGGCTCTCTGTCCAGAAGGAGCTTCTTGCTATATCAGGAAGGCAAAATATGCACACAAAACAATTTTCCAACAAAATGAGATATTCCATAACCTACTACTAAACTGTACAGATATAAGAACCAACAGTTCAGAGAAATAAGTGTCATTGGGAGTGGCCAGGAAAATGTACTTGTGGAAACAGGACTCTAGGTACACCTGAAATAAGAATAAAATTTACGTGCCAGGAAGCACTGGAGTATAATGAGGCTGAGGGAAAAGACCATGTAAGGAGACCATAATGTGGGCACTAGGTAATGAAGACTGAGTCAGAAAGGTAATGAAAATGGGAGGAATACCATTTAAACACATTGCAAACATATATGTTATAGTGATGGAACATTCACTTGACTGGTACACTGTTTTCTACTGAAGGCTTTCTGCTTCCTGACAGGGAAATTTACAGTAGAAGTTCTAATAAGTACAGTGTACGAGAAAATGTGCTGTAAGCAGCAGGGATGGTATATAGTGATTAACAACCCAATATAGCATGTTTGTTTCTGTGAATAATACTAATGGCACACAAACACATGGAGGACTCCAGATAGGCATTTGTCTATTTACCCAGCATTCTCACACCTTGGGCAGGGAGTGCCTTGGGGTAGGAACTATATTCAATTCATCACGTCATGGCAGCTCCTATATCATGAAGGTACTCAATAAGTATTTGTAGCATAAATGATCAAGGCAACAGAAATTATCATTCAAAAAGGATTTGAAATGTAATATATTTTTTATCTATTATAGCATTTTTTATTTCCAAACCATAAAGCTGATATTACAAAGTTCATAAATTATTTATATTGAGAATAATTCTATAACCATCATATCATGTTCCTAAGCAAATCCTACTGATTGTAGACTTATCCCAGTGTGTAAAATGAATTAAAATACACAATGCTGGTTAATTTAAATATGATTTTGAAAAACTTAAAATATAATTGCTCCCTTGACAAACAGAAAATGTTTTACCAGAGATTTAAAGTTCTAACCCCATAACTAGAAATGATTGATTTCAAATACAACTGCTCAACTTTGAGGCTTTTCCACATATATGCCTTTCTCATCATTATAGTCCTTAAACAGTATAGTTCCCAACATTATATGTTCTTAAACATTATAGTTCTATTTCTTAACATATTTCACCCTGAAATGACATAAGAGATTATGGTTGTCAAGGGTTATGTCTCCCTTTGCCGGCCACCTGACCATACAACTGTTGGCTTTTTGGCCACTTAGAATTTCAGAGTACGGACACTCACTTATCATAGAGCGTATTCTATGTAAACTGCTGGAGCCAGGATGTTCAGGTAATTGATCCACATGGTACCTTACTTAAAGGTGCACAATAAAAAGTAAGAATTTATAAAATACATTTTTCTATTGAGGATATAGAAGGCCAAACACTTTATGGATAGCATTAGAAGCCCATACTTGTCTTTGAACTTCAGTGACTGCCCAAATTAGATACGCAGCTGCAAGTGCACGACGGGCATGCACTGGTATTTTGTCAAGAAAATGAGAATAGTGTCCTCCATATTGATATTGTGAAAATGTTCTGATAGAATTTGCAAACTCTTGTGAGATGAAGAGCCTCCTTTATCCCCCTAGAATATAAACAGAAATAGCGAACAGCATGTAAGAGTGTGTAAACATTGTCACACGTTTTAATGGAGAGCACTAAAAATCCTATCTCGATGCAGCAAACATTAATTCTATCATCTTCAAAAGTCTAAGACTTGCTGATATAAGCAACATTAATCAGCATGAGAGGATGTGAAGAAGAAAATTACTTTTATTCTTTAATCTGTGGAGAAAGAAAGGAAATAGTGAAAGAAGAAATACATAGAGTAAAAGAAAGTATTAGTACAAGATTAAAAAGGAGAAGTAAGCAGGAAGGTTTTTGTTGTTTGTTGTTTTTGGTAGCTTTCAAAAAACTAGTTTATCAAGGCAAATGTGATGAACATGACATTAACTGCTATCTATATTCCTCTGCAGCTACATAGTATCTAAACAATAGTATTCTATTATTACTTGAATGGATGGATCACTGAATGTTATGTTTGTATTAAAACAAGTGTAAATACTTGAAAGTGCATATAATGAGAACAGACATGCACAGGGATTATATACATTTTTTTTTTTAGAATTCTCAACTAAAAAGCATCATGAGTTGAATAATTCAGAACTGAAATTTGGTCATTCTTAACCTCCTCACTCAAGTGCCAAGCAAAGGACATTTTCTTCAAAATTTCTTTCCTAAGTACAGGTTGACAACCCAAATTACGATCCTCAAAGCAGCAGAGAACAGTCATGAAGGATCTTCAGAAATAAGGCCAAATATGTTCTTTAATATTTAATCAATTATAGGACCCATGGATTTTTTTTGGGGGGGGGGTGGGGAGTCAGCAAAGGACAGATAAGAAAAAAGACAAATCCAGGACCAGTCCCGCCCAGCCATAATCCCAAGAAAGAGAATATATATATGTAAAGCAATTGAGAACAGTGATTGGCACCTCACAAACAGTGATGGCAGCTGTTGTTTTGATTATCATTCTATTCACTATCAGAAAACTGCCATCTTCAATTTTTGCCTAGGCTCCTGGGAGGCATTTAGAGTGACAGGTGAGAGGAACCAAAATCCTCAAGTTTAAAAGCTTATTCTGAATTGCTATGACATTTGGCTAATGTGAATTCTACACATTTTCTAAACATGTGTTAACTCTTCTACTTCCCATCAAGGCATTAGGGTTACAAAGAAGAGGCTTTGCTGCTAAATTTAAAGAGGTAATGAGAAAAGGGTTTTCGTTTTTTGTACATTCCATATTATTTCCTTTAATTCTTATAGCAATCCTGAATTGTAATTATATTCATTCTCACTTTATAGAAAAGGAAAGTGAAAATCAGAGAAATACAGTGATTCACTCAGGATTATAAAGCTTCGTGGGGGTAGAATTAAGACAAGAATTCCAGGTCTTCTAAAATGGCATATATTGTAACCGCCCAGGCTTTCTCACTAGCCTCTCAACCCAGTTCGAAGGAGTAAGTCTAGATTTCCCTTCTGTCTGGTAATCCAAAAGAATATTTGATAATTCTGATAACATAAAGGAAATTGAAAACTAGAGGTGGAACTCATAGGGCAACTTTTTCCTGAGGTTCCCAGAGGTCCCCTAAACTAAGATAGGCAGAGTTTCTAAAATGTTGGGAAAGGAGACAACTAAATCTGAGGACCTTTCCACGTGAATGAGTTTCTTTTGTCATCTATAGATAGAAAGACTGCTTTAATTCAATGGAAATTATTCTAGAGGAAGTTTTGCCTCAACTACCAACTCACTAGATGAAACAAGGAAAAGCTTAACCTGTGCTAACAGTGCATTTCTCAACTGGGTAGCATCCTGCTTTTCTCCACCAGCTTAGAGGCTCTGAATTTAAAAATGAGCATTTGTGTTTCTCCCAGTGAAGGAACTGAAAGAACATACAGAGAAGCAATGTGCTGGCCTGGGAGCAAGTGGGTATTCAGACAAGACTGGAGCTCATGGATAAAATTCAATATTCAAATGAACGATGGAGTTAGAAAACATTTAAAGTATGTTTCCAACTAAGAGAATCTGAGACTATGATGTAAAGCCCTTTTGTCTGAGTGTTCTCTATCACCATCTATAACCAGATACCTGTTATTTTCATTGGGTTTTAGCAAATACATCTGATCTATTATCCTTTTGCACAATTGGACACTTCTGTCTCACAAGGGAATTTGATGTCCATTTTAATTTAGCTTTGAAAGCTCTAATAGCTTATTATGGAAGGTCAAGTAAATCCTTTAGGCAAACTTGCATTTGATGATTACAGCCACCAGGAAATACAGCTTTAGAGGTTGATTAGAAAATATTTTTAGTTTTCAAATATGGGCTGCTTCAGGTATTAAAATGAAATGTAAACAAGGGTGTTTTTTTTTTTTTGCATGATACCCATATCTGAAGCAAGGATTAATTATAACATTTGTTAATGACCTACAACACAGTTTGAAATATCTATTGTACAGAATGCCTGGGTGGCTTAGTTGGTTAAGTGTCTGACTTCGAATCAGGTCAAGATCTAACCTTTCAAGAGTTCAGGCCCCATGTCAGGCTCAGATCCTCTGTCCTCCTCTCTCTCTCTCTGCCCCTCTCCTGCCTGTGCTCTCTCTTTCTCTCAAAATAAATAGTTTTTTTAAATCTGCTATAAAGTATCTATTGTACAGCTTTTAAAATTGGACAAAATTCCATTTAATAAGTAAAATAACATTGCATTTAAGCCTCAAAACAATCATCAATATGTATATACTTTCAATTAAAGAATTAGAGCTAACATTTTTGATAAATTATGGTGGCTTAATTTTTAATGAAAAAATAATTAGTGGAAATTTTCATCAAAGAACTCATTGCCAATATCAGATGACACTTAACACTGTAATAGACAATTGTTATTAAAATTAGTAGTAGTAGAACAATGTTTCTAATCCTGAAAACATAAAATCTTGCCAAGTATTGTACTTTTTGACTGCATTATCATTACTCTTCAAATAGTGTCCTTTGTCTTTGCCCCCTTCTTTTCCAAGTTCAGCAGAACTGCTAATTCACATTAGCTGAAATGTCTATTGTCACAACTTTTTAGATTAGTGAGCACATTAACTTTTGTAATATGGAAATAAAGATTATAGTATCAAAATGTAATTTAAAATATATTTAA